TCAATCTGCAGCCCTCCAGTCGCCCTTCCTGGGTTTCACTTTCCTGACACTTAAGCAAAATGTCCTGGGCCTGTGGCTGGGATCCCAGGTGAGGACAGAGGCAGGAGAAAGGGCAAGGACAGCAATCACGGCAAGGGACTCACATCATGCCAGACTTGGTTTAAGCACTTCAGATGTGTCAACTTGGTGTTTTCAGAAGAGAGATGTGGGTACCCACGGAGGTAGTTAAGCAATGGATGAAGGAGGTCTTAGGCTTCTCCAAGTGAGCTTTGCTTGAGGGAAACCAAACCTTCCAACACTACTGCAGAGACATGGAAATCTGCAAATCCATTTGAGCAAATAATGGAAATGACAGGGAATCTAGAAGGGGCCTTGAGTTGTTACCATAAAGGAAAATGCTGTGTGATTCATCACAGAAGGAAGGGTGGCTGGCTGGCCACACCACCCTCTGTCCAGACCAAGCTTCCCGAGCCTCCTCTACTACAGGCCTTCCCTGAAGGCTGACATGGGGAAACCCCCATACAGTCAGGCTCAGTACAGTCAGCCATTACCACCATCCAGGGCACAGGACATTGAGGGCAACAGCTTAGAGGACACCGGCTTGAGAAACCCTCGTTGATCCTAGCCCCTGTGGAAGTGCAAGGAGCTGTCAGAAGGCAGAGAAAACACAGGCACCAGAGTGACTAGGGAGCTAGCCTGCCACACAGCTAGTGATGGTCACAGCGACCTCTGACAAGTCCCAAGGTAGCAAGCTACAGATTCCTCTCCATGGAGCGCTCCGGCCTGTCTGCCCCCACAAGAAGGTTCGCCTAGCAGCTAGGCCAGTGACATTTTAAAAACAAAAGACAACTCCCTGCCCTGGGTAAGTATACTTGCAGGACAACACCAGGGCACCTTAGAACTGCCGAAGCTCAGCCCCGCACACTTTGGCTTATTGGGCTGTTCCTGGACCGGGCCCACCTCATCTGCTTACTTCCAAGGGTGTGGTGTGAGCTAGTGCTTTGCTCACAGGTCTCTGCCTGCTGCCCTCCCACCGGGAAGTTTCCTATGGGAAACTGAGCTGAAGACAAACGACAAACTTCCTACTGCCCCTACTTTGTTGTTATTTTGAGACAGGGTCTCACTGTAGCCCCACATGGCCTGGAATTCCATAGGTAGACCAGGCTGGCCTTGATCTGACACAGATCCATCTGCCTCTGCCTTCCAAATAATGGGATTAAAGGCGTGCCAAACATGCCGGTCCCTACCCCCCCCAACTTTTTTTTTTTTTTTTTTTTTTGAGACAGAGTCCCCCTGTAGCCCTAGCTGTCCTGGATTCACTATAGAGACCAGGCTGGCCTTGAACTCACAGAGATCCGCCTGCCTCTGCCTCCCAAATGCTGGGATTAAAGGCGTGCACCACCATGCCCAGCTTCTTTTATTTATTTTAAAAATATTTTACTTATATTTATTTTGTGTGCACAAGCGTATTGCCTGCATGTAGATAGGTGAGCCTGTGTCATGCAATGTCTACGGAGGTCAAAAGAAAGTGCTGGATCCCCTGGAGTTACAGATGGTTGTGAGCTGCCATGTGTGTGCTGGGAATTGAATGCTGGTCTTCTGCAAGAGCAGTCAGTGCTCTTAACTGCTGAGCCATCTCTCCAGCTCCCTTATTAATTTTTTAAAATATTGCCGGGTGTGGTGGCACACACCTTTAATCCCAGCACTCGGGAGGCAGAGGTAGGTGGATCTCTGTGAGTTCAAGGCCAGCCTGGTCTCTATAGTGAATCCAGGACAGCTGGGGCTACAGGGAGACCCTGTCTCAAAAAGACCAAAAAAAAAAAAATCTTATTATGTTTTTGTGTATGAGCATGTTGTCTGCATGTGTGTAAGTGCACCTATGTCCTGCAATGCCCTTGGAGGTCAGAAGAGGGAACTGGATTCTCCTGGAACTGGAGTTATGGATGACTGTTAGCCACCACGTGGGTGCTGGGAATCAAACTCGGGTCCTCTGCAAGAGGCTGAGCCATCTCTCCAGCCCCTCACAAGCTCTTGACTTGCTGGCTCCCAGGTGGCGCTCTCCCTCCTTCTTGCCATGAGTTTCTCCAAGAAGGCAGCTCGATTCATGGAACTGTGTGAGCCAGGAAGGCCTACACAGAGAGCACAGAACCCTAGCAAGACAGAATCACTGAGGGGGGGTGGCACAGGCCCATAATCCCAGCTGCTTAGGAGGCTGAGGCAGAACTGAAATTTAAAGGCCTTCCTGGACTACACAGTGAGTTTAAGGCCAGTCTAGCAACTAAGACCCTGCCTCAAAAACGAACAAACAAAAACACAAAATAAAATAAAAACAAAATAAAACAAAAAATAAAAACCAGAGCTGGTTTGCAGCTCAGTGGCATAGCACCTGCCATACATATATGAACCTAACCACAGAAGTGACACCCTCTAAGGTTGCTCTGGCGTATTGATTAGCACCGGTTACTTAGAGAACTACACAAGACCATAGTAACCAAGAAGTCAACACCACTGGGCACCTCAGAGGCTGCTGACCACAGTGGGCAGCTCAAGGGTCCCCTGGATTCCATTTAGGGTCGGTCCTCCCTGGTGCTTCCGTGTAACAGAAGACAGGCGTGGTGATATACACCTGTCATCCTAGCACCTGGGAGGTGGGGGCAGGAGGGTCAGGAGCTCAAGATCATCCTCAGCTACATAGACTTTGAAGTCAGCCTGGGTACCATGAGACCCTCTCTCAAAAATAAAAGACAAAATCTAAAAAACAAACAAAATAAAATTAATATACGTTAAAATATTTATAATCCTTAATTATCTAAAATTGCTCAATGAATTTCATACAACAAAACTCAAAACCTAACAACCGAAAGTGTCGAAGGCTATGGAGACAGGACGCCACTCATAAAGTGACGGTTGCAAGCAGCTGAGATCTTGTCAGCAACAACATACCGAACGCACCACGAAGCCAAGCATAGGAGTAACGTTCCCAGACAGCTGCTCTCTGCAGCCTGCAGCTGAGTCATGTCTCTGTTACCGTAAGGGAAGAGGCAGGCCAGCACTGAAGGCCATGCTGGTCCGACTTGCTCTGCACCTTTGGAGGAGGTTGTATGCTTCGACAGGACAACCAAACACCAGGTAAGCCTGACACCCACCTCCCAACTTCATCCTCACTGGGCTAGCCACTGAAGGACCTTCCTCTCTCCTCGAGGCCCTCCGACCCGATAGCCACCTTTCCCCTAAGAGTGCATGTCCTCTCCAAGAGGGTTTGCATTTCTTTCTCCCATGGGCACTCTCAAAATGTCCTGCATGTGTGCACATGTGTATGGTGTGTGTTATATAGGGCCACTCAGAGTATGTGTGTGGTCATTCTGTGTGTGTGTGTGTGTGTGTGTGTGTGTGTGTGAGAGAGAGAGAGAGAGAGAGAGAGAGAGAGAGATCACTCAGAGTGTGTGTGAGGGTCACTGTATGTGTGTTCACTCATCCCACAGATGTGCTGGCTATCGACCCTAAGGCCCCCACAACAGCACCCAGGGATGAGAAGCTCAAGTGCTGAACAGGAGAGAGCGGCTGTGTGAGCATGCTCAACGACTCCGACCCTCAGAAGATCCTGGTGCGTCCGGCCTGAGCCCTTCAGCCAGCTGGTGAGACTTCTGAGAACGGGGGCTTTGGCAGTGAGAGGTGGAGGTGAACGCAGAAGAACGAGTCTCAAAGGGGAGCGGCTAGGAGCCATCCTGACACCTCAGCAATGAGGGCACACAAGGTATGTGACCAAGGTAGGCCACGGGGACGTTGGCGACGTCTCGGAACCTGTGTGCTCTGGGGCTGGAGCCGCTGCAGACACTGTGGATGTGTTGGACGAAGTGAGAGCAATATCCCCATGGGCTGCGACCCACAACCCCGTACCGAGTGGCCCACCTCCCAGTGAGTGCGGTGGCTGGCTCTCATCCTGCAAGGATGTTGCGTACGCTGTGGCAAGAGACACTAAAACAACCAGAGCAGATAGATTTTTAAAATAATGATCCTGGGGGCTGGAAAGTTGGCTCAGCGGTTAAGAGCACTGGCTGCTCTTGCAGAAGACTCAGGTTCAATTTTCAACATGGTGGCTAACAACTGTCCGTAACTTCAGTTCCAGGGGATCCCATACCTTCTGACCTCTGCAGGCATTGCATGGCACAGATGCACTTACATACATGCAGGCAATATACTCATATACATAAAATAAAAATAATATTAAAAAAATAATGATCCTGTTTACATGGAATTCTAGAACAAAACTGATGCCTTCAAATTGCTTGGCCCCTTTGTTTAGTTCTTTTATGGCACTTAACAGCCATAAATTTAGTAGGTTTTTTTTGGTCTTTTTGAAACAGGGTCTCCTGTAGTCCCAGCTGTCCTTGAACTCATTGAGATCCACCTGCGTTGCCTCCCGAGTGCTGGGGTTAAAGGCCTGTGCCACTACGCCCCGCTCACAAATTTAGTTTTAAAAACTTCTTGAGTCTACAGAGAAAACTAAACATTCTGACAAAACTTTGAGGGCCAAACCTACTCTAAGTGGCAACCTGGAGGGATCTGGCATTCCCACACCCTGGGCTCTGTCATGCCAACCTGAGTGTATCTATGAATGGAGGTATTTTCAGATACCCAAAACCACAGCACATTCAGATAAAGTCAACAATGACTATGAGGGGCAAGGAGCAGCACTGGGCATGCTCTAAGCACGTGCCTGCTGACACACCACAGCCTTCAGCCTCCACAGCCAATGTGCCCAACATGGCCAAACCCAGTCAACACCCAGCTTGCCCAAGCACCCTGCCACCAGGACCTGCAATGCAATGTCCACACCAGAGGAATGAGCTCCTGAGCAAGGCTGACAGGAAGGGTCTGTCATAGAACTGAAGGGAACAGAAGACAAGGACTCCCATCAGGGCTGCTCAGACCCCCAGTTCTACCACCTGTGGCCACAGCTGAGCGCTCAGCTGTAGCTACCCCACTTCAGCTGCACTTACCTAACTGTAACAGTACCGGCGTGACCAACGCCGTTTCCATGGCATAACAGAACTCCCTGCCGAACATCACTGCCCCGTGCATGACCCATAAGCGAGTGGGGATTCTGTCTATGGATCCCTCGCTGATGGTTTCCTCATGGGTCTCAGCCTCTGGGTCTCTGGGTTTCTGGGGGTCCGGCAGGGACACGGGTAGCTCTTGGACTTGCATAGATTCTGAGTCGGCATTCTGCGGAGCCATTTTCATTACCACCAAAAAAATATATATGTATATATATAATATATATTTATTCTATCTATATAAATAATACCATCATATCTCTTCAGTGATAAATTAAGATGTCTTCTCTTTCTGTTGCAGGTGCATTCCTCGGCAAATAACAATTGTATTCCTCTTTGTACAAACAGGCGTCTCAACTTCTCGCACGAGACGTGCAGCAACACAGAAGATTTTTGGTTGGACTGTAAACATATGGCTTGCTGGCTCACTGTGAGTTAGAGTTAAAAATCCATAAGGGCCACTCAGTTAGTACCAGTTTCATCATCGTGACTGTGGAAGCACCGCGGTCACTTCTCTTGCTACAGAGAGGTGGGGAGCTGACACACACAGGCGGTCTTCTGTGAATCCCCATCGAGCGGCTGGAGGGTCTGCAAGAGAGCAAAGGCGAGCTGCAGTCAGGGGAGGCCTCTGTGCCCACCACAGCAGCCAGGTGGCCCCCAGAACCCTGCTCCTTACCAACAACACTGGACACTAGACTAGTTCCTGGGGAATGACCCCAGAGACAGTGGGCAGAAACAAAGAAAAAAAGAATGCTCATTCTTTCACCAGCGTTCACAGCATCACCTCTGGGCAGGGAGGGGTCACCGTTGACAACCACAGAATTCCTAAGCACTACCTGGAAATGTAAAGGGCAAAGCAGGGACTTGACTCCCACTGCCCATCAGGCAAATCAAATCCATCCTGAGGCTGGGTCCTTGTCAGCAGCTCAGGAAGTGGTCCTTGACATGTCCAGGTTGGACAACCCAGTGATAATCAAATATCAGCTAGACAGTGGTATACATACTGCCAAACTCTGTAACTTTAGGGTCCAGAGACTCCCTACCTAGGTGTGCCATTGCTGGCACTGTGGAACCACAGCCCAATCCTAAAATGTCTGCTACATCCCAATTCCTGTGACCAGCTTGCGACTTGTCTCTACCTAGACATGATGTATAGATGTGTAAAGGATTCAGGTATCAGGTGTGATCCCAGTACCAGGGAGGCAGAGGCAGGTGGATCTTGAGCTGGAAACTAACCTGGGCTACACAGCAAAATCTTGACTCAAAGATGTACACACTTTACCAACTCCTACCCCAAGTGTTGATTGCATTGTTTCCTCTTGTGCTTAATTCAATCTCATGTGTTTACTTCATCAAAAATGTATAGTAGAGAGAGAGAGAGAGAGAGAGAGAGAGAGAGAGAGAGAGATATTAGCTGTTTGAATAAAAAGCAAGGTGGGAACACATCCATGTTCTTTGGGAAGTGGCCTCCAAACTCTGAAATGCTACAAAAACGTCCCCAAGTCACTCAGGATGGCGCTCCCATTGGATATCAAGGTAGACCTGTAGGCTGATGCTCATCAAGCATGCCCACTGACTATTTGGATAAAAGTCTCCCTAGTAATATCTACTCAACCAGCAACGGCCTAACTAGCCCCGCTCAGGAGTCCCCGCAGGGCAGAACTAGGGCTAGCAAAGCCATGGTGGCCCCAATGGGAGCAGGGTTTCCCAGATGCTTGCCTTGGCTGGCTTGCTCCTCCCACCCTGACTTGCTCAGGAACGGGAGGTTCAGCCTCTCAGCCACACACTGGCTTCTGTGTTCCCACCTTCACCGCGGCCCTCACCTGAGATGCTCATTCATCAATATTCTCTACATATGAACCTCAGTCACTGCGGGTCACCCCTGCTTACACTCCTCTCTCCACAGACCTTATCAGGACCCACTTCGGACAGTGAGAGTAGCCCAGCGCCCAGCTCAGGCAGATTTCTGCTCTTGACCTACCTCATCCTCTCCTTTGTCCTTCTCGACAGACCATCATGACTTTTCCTTCTAAGCTTGCCAGTCTAACATCAATACAGGGCCTGTGATTTCACTGCCTGCGCCCACCATGACAGGCAGGGCATGTGTCCGTGCAGGTCTGTGAAGCTGCAACAGGCCAGCTGGACATCAGGCAGGAATAACAGCTCTTATTTTGCAAGTGGTCCTAACAACTTCATTATGGGCATTAACCCCTTCGGTTCTGCTCAGGGCCTCTGCCCCACTGCTGTCCATCCTCAGAGACACACACCTGAGATGAGGCACAAAGACTTGCTCCAGAGCCGCTGCAGCAACTCTAGAAATGAGGCATCGTGGCCCCTGTAATACCAGAACTTGCAGGTAGAGGCAGGAAGACCAGGAGTTCAAGGTCATCCTCAGATATACAGCACGTAAAGCTTGGGCTACATGTGATCCCCTCAAAAAACAAAAACAATTAAAAAAGAAAATAAGATAAACTAAACCCCTCCCTCCCTCCCACGCACACGCGCGTGGGAACACAGAGTCACTCTCTAAGGTAGTGGTTCTCAACCAGGGATGATTCCAATCATTATAACAGCAGCAGGGGTGGACTGGTCAGGAACACTGCCCATACCCTCTAGTATATACTACAGGTCCCCCAGCCGTCAGTCCCAAGGCTGGGGAACGCTGTTTGAAGGGTTTCAATAAAATGTCCAAGCCTGGGCCAGCGAAAGCACTCAGAATGTAAACTCTTGGAGCCTGCCTTCAATCCCTGGGAGACAACCGACTCCACAAACATACATACAAATTAATGAAAGTGTAATTAAAAGGTTTTTTAAATGACTGAGCCCTTATCATATCTGAATCGACTCCAGACGGGCTTCCCTTTAAAGACAGGATGACAAATACTTCAAGCCTTGTGGCCACATACAGCTTCTACTGTGTGTGCTCCTATTTAGTTGTTTTGGGGTTTTTTTTTTGTTGTTGTTTTTTTTTTGAGAGCAGGTCTCCCTGAAGCCCCAACTGGCCTGGAACTCACTATGTAGACCAGGCTGGCCTTGAACTCACAGAGGGTTGGCTCAAAGGCATGTGTTACCACACCCAGTGTATTTGTTTAACAATGTGTTAAAATTAATATCCAGCTGACCAAGCCAGCAGACCCAGTACTCTAAGCTGGACCCGGTGACTGGGTCACAGGGTACTGACTTCTGCCCTGGAGGAGAGTCAGTAAGTCTTAGGGGTCTCACAACTCTCACTGGATCTGACCTCATTGCTGTTACCTACTCTTGTCATAGGTTTCACAGAGCAGAGCTGGGAACCACATGCCGCATGCTGGCCTGAGGAAGGCTAAGAGCAGACCTTTGCAGCATGCCTACTTCTCCTCAGGCAATGTTTCCTAGCAGTTTACTGGGAAGAGAGATTGGGTAAGAACGGCTGGTGCCCAGCACAGCACAGCATAGTGGTCTCATGCAGGTGCATGGCCTCTAGTCATGGCTGGCACAAGCCTGTGGAACTGGCTGCAGACACCTCCATTTCACCCAGGCTCAAGCATGCAGGGAGCACAGTATGTACTATGGAGTACGAGAGGAAACAGACATCACATAAGGGTGGGACCTGGGGTATTTGGGGTCCCTCTACCCAGTGGTTTACAACTGATACAAGGTCAGGATTCAGCTGACACAGTGTTCTGATGTGGCCCCAGGCCCCAGGCAGTCTTAACAGCACCCACAGTCTCAGAGGGGGGCAACCTGAAGGGTGTAGCACCTATCTCCAGAGCCCAACCTGGACAGTGTTATCATCTGTGAGGGGACTCAGTCCAGTCCAGCTCTGGGATGAGGGAAACTCTACTGTAGCCGCTCGAACTCCCCAGGGCTCAGACCACATGGCCACACTCTGCACCTCCTGCCTCTCCCCACCTTCTCAAACCACACCAGCCTTTCTAGATTCTTTGCTCTTCAGGACAGTGAGCCCTGTTCCTGCCAACACCATTGCAGCTACTGGGCTAGATGACAAACCATGTCAGCTGTTGAGGAGCCCCCAGATGCCCTGGTACCTACCCCACCTCCCTTACACTGGGCCTGATCACATGGCAGGGGCCCAGTGGGGTTCTATGACTTAGTGCATGATAATGTTAAGGTTGAGGACATCCAACTGCCTGCCCTGGAAAGCCACCCTCACCCCCAGAGCTCTTGAGCAGCCTCACCCGACAAGAGGCAGCGGAGCCCCCAACCCCAGGTCTAGCCTCTCTGGGGTCTTCATGGACCCCATGTGGGTATGTGACAGGGTGCCTTGGCTGCTCATGTGCTCTAGGTAAACAGGGTATAGATTTCACACAGGCCTGTTCTGTCATCTACTGATAAAAATGGCCAACTTGGGTGAGCACCTTCCAGCTGTTCTTATGAACACAGCTCTGTGACACTCTCAGGCACTGCCAGCCCAGAACACTCACACCACAGAAGGCATCTAACCCTCCAAGAGCAGCCAAACATGAGGCCATGTTAACTGCTAAAAGGAAACCAACTCACTGGTAACAACACATTTTTTTACCAATATGCAGGGATCTATCAACCTGGTTTTACAGGTGGGCACTGTGGAAGACCGTCAGCTCCCCTCAGGGTACCACTTGGAACAGCCACTGGGTCCAAAGTCCTTCTTCGAAGGCCCAGGGAAAGGCCAAGGGTGGTACGTGCTAATAAAAATAAGGTTTAAATATCACACTTAGGGGAGAGGGTGAGCCTGAGGGAGCCCTGCTATCCTCCACAGCCTCATCTCTGGTTTCAACGGACACGGAAGAACAGTGAGTGTGTGCATTCCCTCGGGCTCCTCCGATCCTTCTCCACCTAACTGAGGCTAGTACTGGCTTCTTATATTTTAACTCACAATCTCATGCTTTTGTCTGAGAACAGACAAAAATAAGAAAACAGCCAAGTTAACAACAATGTGTTCACAATTCCCAGACTTGACAGTGGACCACACTTCCGAAGTCTAGAGGTTCCTGTCTGGCTCAGGCACCTGTCTCCCCTGAAACAAAGCCAGGGATGTCACAGCTCTTTGTCTGCGGATTTGAGGTCTCTGATGTATGGCTGTGCCTTTTCCGGGCACACAGACCCTGTAGAGTGAAAAGCCTTCTTTTACGTGTTCCCTATCTCCATTTGTGTGGCCCTTTCCATCAGGGCCCAACCAGGAAAGGAAAGAAGTCTGAAGGAAGTAGGGCGGAGCCGTGATTCCCCACCACAGGCTAGGCACCTAGTGTTCAGCCAGCACATTTCAGGAAAGAACCATCAGAGATCATAAAGCAGGTGCAATGCCCGTGGGGTCATCCTCCTATGGCAGGAAGCTGTCCCTTGTAGGAAGCTGGTTGCATGCCACCGCAGGGCTGCACAACACTAGCTAATCAAGCTCAAAGGCTTCCTCTGAGCAACTGGGTATAAAACGCCCAGGCTGAACACAAGCAGGAGCAGGCTGGGAGGACCCGCTGTCCTGCTCTCAGCACAGGCAGTTCTGCATCCGAGGGCTTCCAGCAGGCTGCTGGGAACATGGAGTGGACATGTCCAAAAGCAAGCTGTGGCTTCTTCCGGTCAGATACTCGAGGCAGCTTTTCCCCGGCACAGAA